GATATCAGTATGAGGACGCAAAAAGGACTATTATAAGGCTGGAACAATGTGCTCAATCATGTCTTCAAAGATCCATGACATCTCAAGGGGCCCTTGCGGTTTTTTATGGTCGTCATTTGAGGCATTACATCAGAAAAACTGAGGTAGGCATCTAGTTCTGTCACTTTCTGAATTTGGTAACTGTGCTTCGCAATTCATTGGAATTATATGCTAATTTCCATTTTTTACATGATTATTTTACTTTTACACCTCCTCTCTTTCGGTTTCTGCTTAGTTCCTTATCTGTTAAACAGCATGTATTTTTGTAGCTTTCTTTTCAGTTTTTGTGTTTCTCAAGTGGAACATCTGTTCAATAATTTGGACACTAGAACCATTTTCTACCTTTGTAAGTAACTTGGCCTTTGGCACTTTCTGAAGCTTCGCGTGGCCTTGAACAAGTTAGAAGATAGATTCCTTCTGACGAGTGTCAAAACTCTGAGTGATTCATGCAGGAGCTGAACAAAAAAAAAAAAAGCATTAGCTCAATATTTTCATGAAATAACTCCTTTCAGTTTCTTGTACATTATCTATAAAACTTCTTGTAGATTGAAGTTTGTTCAGTCATAATTTTGTTACTACCACCAATCTGCAGGTTTTCATTTTGCCTTTTTCTTTAACTACCTCTACCATATATCCTTGAAGGAGTACAGATGCAGTCTAAGGATCTAGGCTCAATTTCTGTATTCCAGTTTGAAGAACTTAACAACATTTTTTTGGATATCAAATGACTCTGCTCTTTTTAAAGTTTTATAAATCATTCTTGCGGTTCTTGTTCGTGATATTCCATTATCATAGAGTAGTGCATTTACATGTACACATCTCAGTCTGTGAGTTCTTAGCACAGAGTAATCTTTGAGAAAAATGCCAGAATAACTCTTTTGGTGAATCTGATTTAATAGGTTGTACTTGGAAGATCTACAGATGATTTTGATGTTGATATTGATCTAAGAAAAGAAGGGCGTGCTAATCGAATTTCTAGACGCCAGGTAGGATCTTCCATTAACTGATATCTTTGACAATATGTAAAGCTTATGTTTCCTTGTGGACAATGAGGATCGCTTCTCAGTCCTCACTATGGATAAAATCAAATGAACCGAAATTTGATTTTATAAATGATGCTTCCTCTTCTTCATTTGTTTTGGCATTTCTTCTCTTTTTTCACTCGGAGTAGTTATAACTACTGTTTTTGCCCTATCTAGGCAATTGTTAAGATGGAAGCGAACGGATCTTTCTACTTGAAAAATATCGGGAAGAGTTTAATCTCAGTTAATGGCAAGTTGGTTGCAAGTGGACAACTGATCTGTCTTGGCTCCAGTTGTTTGATTGAGGTATGTTTCTTTTCCTTCTGACCTTTTAACAAAGCAGTCTTCTTTGTCATGATTTTCCTCCTTTCTGGGATCCTTCTATATGAATCAATCTCTTGTACTTTTGACTGTTTCAATCAACCTCTTGTACTTTTGACGTTGAAACGGAATGAATGCCCCAGTCACTGTTGTTTTTCATTACCTGAAATAGAGGAAGTCTCATGACAAGTGCGATTCTTTTAAAGTACTCGAGCTAGATTTGAATCATTCCCATTGATACCGATCTGAAGTACACCCTGGCGGTGTGTATCTATGGCCCAAAAGTAGGAAGGAACTTCTTTATAAGCAAGTTCTAGAAAAAAGAATCTAGCGCTTCTTGTGCTCTAAACTATAATATGAATAAATATGACTTTACTCATCAAACTAAATCAAATATTAGAAGGAATACAGGATTCTGCTTCTGGTGGCAACAGTTTAGTTTATTTACTCCAAACATTGATTATTAGTCTTTATGGGAAAAGTGCTGAAAACGCATAATTAAGATTTTTTTAGCATGGATGTATTAAGTTATATTTGTGTATTGTACAGATTAAGAGCAATTTACTGCTTTTTTAGTCTTCTGCTTTTGCTCGTTACATAAATTCTTTTAGCTGGTTGACAAGTTTTGTGCTTACCCTAACCAATTAAAATGGCAAATATGTAGATAAGGGGAATGAGCTTTGTGTTTGAGATCAACCAAAAATATGCCAGACAGTACATCAATAGCATGTCAAGGGATAGCAAAGGGAAGAATAGCAAGTTTGAATGGTCACCTGACGAAGAAACTTGAGTGAAAGAATTCATGAAAAAGGTGCTTCGTTTCCATCTCTTCCAATTAATCTCCTTTTTTTTTTTTGGTCATAGGAATATGTTATGTGCATTGACGAAATTGTACATATGTAATTCTCTTCAATGCAATGCAGATATCCAATCAAGCTTTCATCTGTATCTTTGTTGCTTTCTCTCTTTCTTTCTCTAACTTGTTCTGGAATCCCACTTTTATCTTTTGTTTTGATGTCGTTTTTCCCTTCATTTTTGTTTTGGCGGTGGGACGAATTGTGAGGATCATTTGGGACTATAAGAGCAAAGCTGCATCGGCTGGTAAATTCCTGCATCAGTTTCACCAGCGGCTCGAAGTCAGCACTAAACTGAAGCACGGTTTAACATCACGGCACAGAAAATTACTGAAGAAAACATCAAATAGAATCATGAAATCCCCAATGTTATCAAGATCGCAAACTCTGAACAAGTGTAACAAATACATGAGCCAAGTTGCTCCTTGGTCCCTGTTAACGTCTACTGTATCTAAATCAATGCAGTGGGCCTAAGAGTTCCAATTATTTCCCTGTGACTTTCTTTCAACGCAAAGGACGTTAATTGGACATTTTAGCTAGTTATTAAGGCTTAATAGAGTCTCCCAGGAAGCTACTTTTTCACCTTCATCCACTTCAAAACGTGATGCAATCGATATTGGGGTCATCAGATAAGGTGATAGGCCATCCCAGCAAAAGATTTGGTCCCTTTTTCTTTCTGAAGATAAAGGGTATGGGAAGGGCTAGTGGGGGGTCGGATTAGTTTTAAAGTACTCATGATTTGTTACTAGTAGAATTTGCATATACATTCTCTCGGCCCCTAGATAACGTGACGCTGAATATTTTAAAAAAGGGTAATGTGTAGTTGAGGTGTTGATATTTTAGAAAAGCCAACTTCAACAATATTTCGAAGTTAGTTAGCAATTATTGAACATCAATAATAATAATAATAAACAACATACATGCTGATGCTACCAAATTCAGTGCCAGCTTGAGGGATTTCTGGAAGTTAGTAGTTCACCATATGTGGCATACCGGACCACATCCAAATATTGAAACGTTTATGACTTTTTTTTATATTGTAGTTTTATACTGTAGTTGAAGAAAATGATGATAGTAGATAGTTTGGTAGCTTGATTTGGTAGAGGAGTGGTGAGATGTGACGTGCCTCATGAAAGTTGAAAGTGTGCTTTTCCACTTATTGGCGCACATAATTAATTAATTTCCATGGATCGAATATTGTTGAAGATGCCTAGGCAGGGTTGGTTGCAGGCAATTGGGGTGTCTGTAGTAAATGGAAAAATGTGAATTTTCATCAGAACATGGCATGTTCATATTCTCCGGTGGCAACCACTACAAGATGCGAAGGGAATTTAAGACGTTCTATTTTATGGGTTGAACAACGTATTATTGGAGTGTTTTATAAACACGTGCCTCGAAAGAATGTATATGACCTTGTATGGAAAGGGAATTTTTTTTATCAAAAATATTTTTACGTTTTTCGTAAATACATTTTTTGATTATTTTTTTACGTCACATATATCAAATCGTTACTATACATTTATTTTACAAAAACTCCAGAAATTTACAACCCAAACACAATATAAATTTTCCTGGCTATAAAATCAACCAAGTATAGTCTTAAAAACGGTCATTTTGTATTTGACTCTTCAATTATTGATCTACTGTCAAGTAAAAAGAAAAAAAGAAAATAATTCACAATATGGTGACCATATATATCTCTTTAAACTGTCAAAACGATGCACGCATAATTCTATCTTATTTGGTTATTGAAAGGAAAAATAGTCAACAATGAAGCCCTTTACTGAAAAGATAATTTTGACCCACATGTTTGATGGTTTAAGATTAATATCTACCACAAGGTAAGCCAGATGACCACATGCTTATGTCCATGGAAATTCTCATGCATCTTATGGGACTTTCTATTGGACGTGACGTTAGATGTTCTTGTGTACCAAGTAAAGGTGGCTTAGTTAGAGTATATGTTTTTACAGGATAATTAAGAGGAATGGAAAATGGAATTCCTCTTGCTCGAAAAATGATTAATCCCTTTTTTTAAGGCAAGATTTGTAGCGTTACGCGTGTAAAGTTGATTGCACAACCAACCATTTTCAATCATTTTCACACACAAAGAAGTCCCTTTTTTGGTTAGTTATGTAACATTTGCAACTCTCTCCCCAATACCTCCTCTCGAATGACATTAAAAGATTAAACCACTGCGCTTGACTCGTAGCCATCAAGAAGGGACAATAGGTGGGGTTTCAACTCCCATTTGCAGCAAAAAATAAAATAAAATTCAAGTAAGGTCTATATATCGACTTCAAGACCAAGAGCAAGAATTTTTTCCTTCGTACAATGGATAGCAAATTATTCAAAATAATATTTCGCATGTATTATAGACATATTTTTTAATTAATTTTTTTATATTTTTAAATATTTTTTTATTTCATACATATCATATTATAAAAAATATTACCGTAATCATCTTAAATAATATTTTAAATAATATTCTATCAGAAAGAAAGAGAGAGATAGAGAGAGCAGTGGTCCGATATATACTCAAAGTTATCAACTCCACCTAAAGAGAACTCTGATGCGGGACAGCAGTAGTGTATTTTATTTTATTTCATGAAGGCGTTCGTTAATGCGTTGCCAGTTAACGTTAGAAGCTGAAGCTGGCTGGAAGATTTTTAACTTATTTAAAGAAAAAAAGAAAAAGATTCTCTCTTTCTTTCTTTTTTTTTTCGAAAAGAAAAAGGATCCCCACTTTCTAAGACTATAAATTGCTTAATCGCATGGCTCCCCGGGACAGATACAGCACAGCAATTTCCCTACCAAATTCAATTCCTGGCTTCCAGCTCCCCCAACCCTTCATTAATCACTGGTTCTCTACTGTTCCTTTGTTTTCTTTTTCTTTTTTTATTATTTTTTTAAAAAAAATGCTAAATACAGCAGTGTCGTGTTAATCAAAGAAACATAAGCAACTGTGTAGTCAGTAATGGTGGATTCTCCTGTGGGACTCCTCCTCTCTGCAGAAGAAGTCTGTATTTCTGACACCTCCACCCGTGATCAAAGCACTCACAACCCCCCATGTCTCCTATGTTTCCTTCCAATTCCCAAATGAAATGAAAAGATCTTTCTTTGTGTGGCGCTATCAACACTGAAAGCTGCAGCACTGAAACCCCACAGCACCCCAAGGACAAAATCCCACCCTGCCCCCATCCTCCATCATCATCCATCACCACTTCTTTCCGTTCTCCCTTCCTTGCTTCCTTCCTTCTGCTTCCCTCATCTTATCTACTAATAATGAGTACTACACTCTTCACTTCATAAATACCAGAAATTGAAAGACTAAGCAAATTAACAAGATGGGCTCTCTTTGCCTACTCTCTTTTTCTTCAGGTTTGGTCTTAATCATCCTCCAGCTAATGTTCTTGCATGCACACTCTAAAACATATTGGAAAGATGTTTCAGTCTTGAAGCAGCTCAAAGACAGTGTCGACCCCAAGTCGGTGACTCCTGGCTCGTGTTTGAGCTCCTGGGATTTCGGGGTCGACCCGTGTGATAATCTTTTCGGCGATAGGTTCACCTGCGGCCTGAGGTGTGACGTCGTCCTGCCTTCCGGGAGCCGAGTCACCGAACTCGCTCTTGACCAGGCGGGTTACTCGGGCTCACTCGCTTCTGTTTCCTGGGAATTGCCTTATCTTCAGAAGCTTGATCTCTCCGGGAATCATTTCACTGGCGGGATTCCCGACTCCTTCTCCTACTTGACTCGGCTTCAGCAACTCGGTCTTTCCGGCAACTCGTTCTCGGGCTCGGTGCCTGACTCTCTCGGCGCTCTTTCCAGCCTCGAGGAGATGTACCTCGATAACAACAATCTTGAGGGGACGATCCCATCAAGTCTCAACGGGTTGTCTAATTTAAAAAGGCTCGAAATTCAAGGGAATAAGTTCGCTGGCCCGTTCCCTGAGCTGGGCCAACTGGGCGACCTCTATTTTCTTGATGCTAGTAACAATGCCATCTCCGGGGAGCTTCCTGCCACATTTCCGGCATCCCTCGTCGAGCTTTCCATGAGGAATAACAGCATAGAGGGAAGCCTTCCGGCTAGTTTGAGTAACTTGCCTTATCTACAAGTCTTGGACCTGAGTCATAACAAACTCAGCGGGTCAGTTCCCGCGAGCCTGTTCACTCACCCGTCCTTGGAACAGCTGACTCTGTCTTATAATCAACTGGGGTGGGTCGAGGCTCCGGCGAATTCAGGTCTGAATAGTGAGGTCATTGCTATTGATTTGAGTAATAATGAGATCCGTGGGTTTCTGCCTGGGTTCTTGGGCATGATGCCCAAATTGTCAGCTTTGACGTTGGAAAACAATAAGTTGACGGGCATGATACCGACACAATATGCCCTGAAGGTACTGTTGCCGCAGGGTCAAGGGGTCTCCCAATTTGAGAGGCTATTGCTTGGGGGAAACTACTTGTTCGGACCCATACCGGGGCAGTTTCTGGGTTTGAAACCGGGTTCGGTTACGATTAATTTGGGAGACAATTGCTTGTACCGGTGTCCTCTGAGATTATTCTTTTGTGATGGTGGGGAGCAGAAGTCTTTGATGGAGTGCAAAGCCTTTGCCCCATTTATTCCTTGAGAATAGGTAGGTATAATGGGGTGGGTCTTGTGTTTATGTTGTAGCAATTCCTTCAATTTTTAGATTGGGCAATTCGTGATTCTCTTCCCGGGGAGGGAGAGATTTATGTGTATAGTGTATGAAGTGTGCTTGTGTTAGGGATGCCAATGATAAATGATAATCTTGTGCTAGAAAATTAATAAAGACGTTGACATAAAGAAATATTTCCAGATTATGTGACTCACCTTTCAATGGAAACAAGGCGGGGTAGTTGAAGAAGACATGGACTCCCATCCCATGTGAATATGTGATGATGATTCAAGATAGAGATCAATGAGGGCCTGAATCAAAACAGATAGCATCAAGGCTACTGTGCCCTTCCCAATGCCATTGATTGACCTGCTATTTTCTTATCCTCAGGAATGCATTTGTGCAGTTTGTTTATGCCTGAGGCTAAAGACCCACTAGGGAATTTAGTACAGAAAAGAGAAGATATGATGGACACGAATTTCATTCAATATTATGTTGTTCCAGAGCTTGAGAGAGAGAGTAGAAGAAATGATCTCTTTTATTTATTATTGTTTGTTTGAGAGTTGTGAGAGAGATACGAAAGGAAATGCTAGTCTAACTAGCTTCCTGGCCTCCAGGAGTCTGCTGCATTTCCCAAGGCAAAGAAATGATACAGAGAGCTTATGATCTAGGATGGTACAATGCTGCCAATTCTGGCGATTATTATTGGCTGAAAGTTGTATCATTTTTCCGTGGTTTTCCCTCTTTCGGTGTGTTGGAGTTCCCGTGTGGATGGGGAAGATTTGGGATGTGGTTTTACCTTCTGCACTAGAAGCCCGTGAATTGTATTACTATAAATGTTTTCAAGATTTTGAGAGCATGGAAGAAAGCAAAATTTATCCCCCTGATGATGTTGATAATTTTTAAGTAGCCGCATCAGTAGGAAATTTGTGGAAGCTCTTAACTTTAGCCTTTTTGAGGTAGGAAGCGCAGACGGGCTAAATCCTACTGTTCTGGTAAATTGTCAACTGACTTTGTTTGTTAAGGCTTTCTTTAACGAGGAGTGGGACAACACTTTCTGTTTCCTATAACGATTGCATACTTCATAGAGTCCTCGCTTGCTATTCAAGAAAGTTCCTTCCACCTTCAATGGTACAACTTATGTGACGCTTCTTTGGATCAGACACATATTATTATTGTTTGTGCTTTTTGGCCATTGAAACTGGCAGACAGCATCCACTCTGAAGTAGTAACAAATTATGGAGCATTTTGTTCTCTGGTTTGTAATTCTTGATGGATGATGATGGTGACTTTGTTTGAACCATCAAGTCTGATACTTCCCGACTTGTTTCTTTGGGTCTAGCCACGTATCCTCAACTCTAATGGTGCTTGGAACTTTATGTATTTGTTTCATCAGCTGTCCCCGTCATTTTCCACTGTCTGCAAATCATATGCTTCAAAACACCTTCACCCCCACTAGAAAGGTGCTTAATGGTGCAAATTCTCCCCACGATTTCAACTTTATTGTTTAACCTCCACTACCACTAGGATGGAGGAGCTCATGGCCAACTTCGACCCGCAGTCAACTTCTATCCGCTTTGGCGGTTGGGAGAATCACGATATAGCTAACTGGCGGAATGCTTAGTCTTAGGCTGCTGCTCCCAACATTTTTCTTAAACTCAGAATGAAGAAGCGTCACGAGCGAAAGCATACCCTCTTAAATAATGGTGACTGGCCAAGTCTCGCAATCGGCAGCTAATCTTTTTCCATTTCCCTCGGGTCAACAGCTGCGCAGGCATTTAGGACTCGGGAGAATCATTAACCACTCGTGAAAAAGTTGGAAATGGATCACTTGCTCCAGAGCTTCGGTCTTGGTCATTATCCCCTCCATTTGAAGACAAAGTCAAGAAACATTTCTGAATCCAATCTCTTTCCAAATATAAATAGAACTCTTAAAAAAAAAAGTACTAGGCAAGCATGTTTAATTATATTTTACCGAATCTGTACGCTTCATAATTGCAAGCAGAATGCCTTGTAAGCTATCTAAAGACCAATCACACCCAGAGGTTGAATTAATTCCGCACACTACCATTTAACAGTGTGCAGCTTCAGCCAAAAAGCTCATTTGCATATTACTCAGAATTCACAATGACAAAGGTGCTGAATCCTATATGCACCTGGTGCCAAAGAAGGGCACTTCTGCTAATCTTCAGTTTCTTCCTCTTCTCTGCCTCATTGTTAACATCTGATGCTTGTCATCCAGCGGACAAGGCAGCGCTGCTAGACTTCAAGAACAAGATCACATCAGACCCCTCAAAATTGCTCCATACATGGGCTCCAGCAACAGATTGCTGTAAAAGCTGGCACGGTATCGCTTGTGACTCCTCTGGCAGAGTAGTGAACGTCTCTCGATCTGGCCTTACTGGTGATGACTTCATACTCGATACATCCATGTCCGGAACTTTATCTCCTTTGCTTGCCAACATCTCCTATCTTCAATTGCTCGACCTCAGCAACCTCAAGGATTTGCAGGGTCACATTCCTCCCGAATTTGGCAAGTTATCGCGCCTGACACATCTTTTTCTCGATTCAAACAAGATTACGGGATCCATACCTGTTGCATTGCGATATCTATACAAGCTGAAGAAGCTATATCTCAGCGACAATCAGCTATCTGGTACTGTACCTTCACCTATCTTTGAATCTTTAACATTGCTTTCAGAACTTGGGCTTTCAGGAAATAGACTGTCCGGTCCAATACCGTCTTCTATTGGCAAGTTAGTTTCACTGACTAAGCTTGACATTTTCCAAAACAGCTTCTCTGGTAGTATTCCAGAAAGTCTTGGAAATCTCAAGGATCTAGAGTATGTTGATTTTTCGTATAACCAATTGACTGGAAAGATACCAGAATCAATTGGTGGCCTCTCCAATTTAGTGCTGTTATATGCAAATCATAATCAGCTTAGTGGAAGCATTCCTCCTTCTATCTCTGGACTCTATTCATTACAGTTTTGCCGTTTATCAGACAACACGTTAACTGGCAGCATCCCAGCATCAATTGGCAATCTTCGGAATATTCAAAGACTGATCTTTGAGAACAACAGGCTTACTGGGAAACTACCTGCAACTATAGGACATCTTGCTGGTCTTACAGATATATTCTTCTCCAATAACATCTTCACAGGAAAGATCCCATCAAGTTTTGGCAATCTGCGAAACTTACAGACGCTAGATTTGTCACGAAACCAACTCAGTGGTCCGATCCCTCCACAGGTAGCTCAATTGCAGAGATTACAGTCGTTGGACCTGTCATTTAATCCTCTTGGACTAGTGAGCATACCCAATTGGTTCCAAGAATTAAAGGTATTTCGCCTCTTGTTGGCTAAAACAGGTCTCCAAGGACAGCTTCCACAATGGTTGGCTTCATCATCACTGTCAACTCTGGATTTATCAGACAATGCACTGACAGGGAAATTGCCCAATTGGATAGGAAACATGACAAACCTCTCCTATCTGAATTTATCGAAGAATGCATTCCACTCTTCAATTCCGGAGGAATTCAAGAATCTCTCCCTTCTGATGGATCTTGATCTTCACTCCAACAAATTCTCGGGAGGGCTGAAAACCATTTTGTCGAAACATTTCCAAGATCCACTTGGGCGCTATAACTCCATTGATCTTTCCTACAATCTATTTAGTGGTTCCATGGAGGAGGCCATTGGAGACGAACCGTCATTAGCTTCCCTTGTTATCCTAATTCTGTCGCACAATCGACTAGAAGGGTCCATACCGAAGTCACTAGGAAAATTAAGTGGACTGATGACTTTACTGCTATCGCATAACTATTTGAGTGGTGAAATCCCGGAAGAAGTTCTGAATCTAAAATCGCTCCAAGAATTTGACGTCGCTGGGAACAAGCTAAGTGGAAGAATTCCTGCTCACAACGCCACCATCCCAAAGACTGCATTTTTAGGCAATCCTGGCTTGTGTGGAGCTCCACTACCTCCTTGCAAGCACTCCTAATTATGCATCCCTCAGAGATCATCCTTACTGTTACATTTTGTGGTTTTTTAAATTTATACACTACTATATAATTCATTGGAAACCAGTGTACGTTTCGAAGGCAACATACTTGATGAGAATTTTGTGTTTGTATTGTATTTTTCATGATTTTTCATGAAAAAAATATCGTAATGATTTGACGTATGTGAGGGAAAAAAATAATAAAAAAATGTGATCACAAAAAATAACGTAATTTTTCGACGAAAAACTGCAATCCAAACAAGACATCGTACCTAAAAAATTTTCTTACCTTAGGCCAGTTTCTAAGCTGGGGTATTAACTACTACTAACTTGCAGTGTATTTCCCCAAAAAAAAAAAACTATTAACTTGTAGTAGGAACTCTTGTGCTGAGCCTAAAATAATAGTGTGCGTGATGGATACTAAGAAAATGACAAATCATAGGAATAGTTTACGAATGAAGAAGCAGTTTTCATATTGTATTTTCTGGGTAAAAAGCCAGTGATTGTCAGACAAAGTTTCCCTTTTTCCGGTGCCTTTCTAGCCTTTTCTCTTTCTTTTAGCGAGCTACACCATTATCCTCGAATACTGCTACATTTTCATCTGATGTCAGTAACCTTCTTAAATGTCCTGGTCTTGTTTCGATTTACTATCAAGAGAAAATGCCATTATTTCACTTCTGCGGTTGGACAAACAAAGAGAAGCTTCACTATCAAATTAAAGTGGAAACATTAATAATAAGTTTGTTTGGATCGTAAGTTATTTGAAATATTTTTACTGTAGCATTTTTTGTAATATGATGTATGTGAGATAAAAAGGTAATTAAAAAGATAAAAAGGTATATTGAAAATTGTAATGATAATGTAAGCAAATATATTTAGAAAAATAATCAGCTGTCCAAACAAAATATTGTATCAAAATTTTTTGCAAGTGGTGGTGTTGTATGAGCATCAAGGACTAGTCTTTTCACCAAAAAAAATAAAAATCGGGGAGTAGTCTTCATTTAAGGTTGGTCAACAACCTGTAAAGCGTCTATTACATTATGAAGGTCACGGATGTTGTCAAGTTATTCTTCTGCAAATTAGCTCGTTCTACTCCAAAAAAGTATGACACAACAAATACACTTAATATGCTAAGAAGTGCTTTTGTTGAACAGTGAAAGGGTTCTGCGGTGGTTTCCTCATTCCTGTGGGAAAAAAACGGCTGGTAGGGGGTGTTGCGAGAATCGAACTCGCGAGGATTCTCGCAACACCCTCGCACCCGAAGCGCGAATCATACCACTAGACCAAACACCCAACCTGATTCTTCGGTTTTTAAGTAAAACATATTAATGCGAAATTCGTCAGATGAAAAGTCGGTTTTTCCCTTGAGTAAAAAGACTCTTAAAGTACGAAAATATTGTACTGATTGTTGGAACAACGAGAATTGAGAAGGCAGAGCCATGAACCTTTTATCAGCCCTTTCCAAAGCTACCATACTTTCTATCTAAGCCTTATAAATTCTCACAGAATTAATTAAAATTCTTTTCATAGAGTCGTCTCTCTGATCATTAACTTCAAAACCTAACCAAGGAAAACGTACCAAGACCTTGAATCTTAATCAATTTCGTTGGTTTCGCCGCAAAACCAAGCCTTGATTGAATGACTTTTTGAAAGCTTATGGTTCAAATTCCCAAAACCTAACTCTATCGAGGAAGTGTCCACAATTATGCTTTTACCAGTAAAACAAAGTCCTAAAACTTGTAATGGTTGGAATCGGAACTTTTGTGCATTTTCACAAAATCATCCCTGTACCACGACACATGATTGGATCTGGATCACTCGGGGGCTTCAAATTCTCTGTCCTCAAAGTAGTCTCTGTTCTCTTCGTCCCTTATTTGTACAGCTGTCACATGTCTCTAGAGACTGAAATAATGAACAATATAACCCCCTCTTTTTTTTTTCTTTTCTTTTAAAAAAGTATACACTAACTTTTGTCCTAGCTGAAGATTAATGCATTATGTAAATGTTTTCCTAGAAATATAAGAAACGTTTCAAGTGTTGTATTTATGATGAATATTGCGGATTGCTTATTGTTGACTTCCATGCATATTCCATTTCCAAATTTATACGCTTGTAAAACTGCAGCCTCACTCTCGGTTATATATTTTCCAATTTGTGTGTAAATGATGCTGTAGCATATAGTAGATGGTGAAAGATCCCGCTATTCACAAAGAAGCTGGTATAAAAGTTAAAAGGAACAATGGCCAAATTTGTAAACCGATTATTATCGATTTATTTGAGTTTGGATTAACAAAAGACTAGAGACACGTGACAGCTGTACAAATAAGGGACAGAAACTACTTGGGCACAGAAGATTTGAAGTCCACTGGGGGGAGTCAAGCACTTTGTAGTTCGTCCTTCCTCCATATGCAAAATTCAAGTGCAATCAACAAAGACTGATGATGAACAAACAAAAAAAAAAAATCCTTTTTTTTTTTTCTAATATCTCCGGCAGGCAAACGGATAATGTGAGGCCTACACAATTAAATTAACAACCGTCTCAAATGTTGACCTCTTATAAACGCTTGAATCCATTTGTCTGTGTTTGGGAATTTTGTAGTAATCTTTCCGGCTATCAATGCATAAATCAAGATGGTTGACAAATTTTATTTTATTTTTGACAAAAGTTTTTGGACCAATTACGTGAAAGGGAGAAGATAGAGTAAAGCATGGGAGTCAGTGTGCAATTCAACGCTTTGCATGTGAGGACTGAAGAGCAAAAACCGAAAAAAGCCGCTTTGCATGTGACTACGTACCGGATAAAGCAGCGGCAGCGTCCTCTTCTTTCTATCTTAGCCCACTTAGTTTATTCTCCCCAATCAACGACAAACGCTACCAGCCCATCAAGCCCACTTTGTCACTACCTAATTATTTTCTCTAATTCACTCCAAACTCGCAACAGAAATAGAAATTAAAAAAAAATTAAAAGTTTTCAACATCCTTTTCCTTTCTCACCCAAAAAAAAAGGGAGAGAATAAAATTCAAGCTTTTGAATTAAGACCAGTTTATTCAGGATATCCGTCACCTTACTTGTGACGAGCTAATAACTTTTCTTTTCTTTTTTGTTTGGAGGATTACTTTTCTTGAATGAGTTGTGCTACCAATCAAATTTTTTTATGCTTTCCTCCTGGTTTTGAGTCAAAGATGGGTTGGGGAAAAATTCCCAACTTTAACCGACAAATTGTATTCTCTCTCTCTCTTTACATCTTTTTTGCATAAATAAACAAAATAAATTGTGTCTAGAGAGAAATTGAACAGCTGCATGCCATACATTAGTATTTGTAATGCACAAGTTGCAAGTCACATGGCGTGCCTGACGATTTCCGTGCCTAAACGAAAGAGACCAAAAATTAGACTGAAGACTCAACAAATCAGCTGGCCACCACCGCATGTCCTTTGTAGCGTGAGGTTGAGTGTTTAAATCTCTCGTCAAAATTGTCACTTAATATGGTTTTTTTAGAGATTCATATAAATACGTAACGTATTCATATGGGTTCGATGGTGGTTCGATCCCCGTCGATTTTTCATGACACTGTTGGATCATCTCCTACTCGAATAGGTTAGAGTAGGAGTAAAAGTAGGTGTAGATGATAATAATTGACAAAAAAATAATAATAATAATTGAATTGACGTCCACCTAAAGTTCCAGTGTAACGTTGTCAAAATATGTTTGCTCCTAGTTGCGAATGCCTGCAAGTCCAGGACTAGGATTGTGTGCTGGGTAGATCAATCAAGCTTTTAACATTTTTATGTCGAGTTGGCAAGCATGTTGACTAGGTACAAATTTCAAATTTATCTTCCACAATAGTCTATCATGAAAAAAGGCTTAACCGTTTGATCGACTTGCTTTCTTTTTTTGTTTTTGTCAATTTTTAGTATTCATTTGCTACTGATCTGGAAATTAAGGCAAAAGGTGCTATTCATTTTGTAAAAGAAAAAAAAAAAAAGTATCATTTCCAGGCACGATGACATTTCTTGTTTAGTTCTAAATTGGGTTTAATTCCAAAGAATCTACAACGGTGGGAATAATACAAAAAAAAAAAAAACAATTCAATAAAAATATAGATTAATCCATAAATAGTGGTATAAACACTAACATATAGTGCTAGTAATTAGAAAAAACTCATACTCCAGCCTTAAAAATCGAATTCAGAACCTCTAATTATTGGCTTCCAGCCTTAAAAATCACATGCACCGAGGTTAGCTAGCCAAGCATGTTTCGGCTTCCACATGAGACGGTCCAAAGTTGTTACTGGTGGTCTCTAGGGTACGTGTTGCACGTTGGACTAGTGCAATTTCGGCAGCTTACATCCCTTTCTGGCGATCGAGTCTTTTCCAAGAGGACAAAACGTATTGAATTTGAATGTTGATCACCATGCATTTACTGACCTGAACTTTAAGACCGGGCGGCATTTTGGCATTTGAATTTTCTACGAGGCTTTTTTTTTTTTTTTTTGAACGTTCAAATTTCAAAGGCATATTTCATTCTTAATTTCAATGCAAAAGAGTGGAAATCCTGCACTTCCTAAGTAATCCGTCATATAAAATGATAATCTAACCTGCTAGAATCAATCAGCTTAATGGAGCTCTGTATGCGACAGTCCGACCCGACTTTAATTGTTTTCCGGAGTACGGCAATGTTAATTAGAGAGCTCAAACGGAAACAAAAAAATAATTAAATTTTTGCACTTTGTTTTGCGTTAGGAAGAAAAAGTAACCTCCATCTTATCTTAGGTGGCTCATTCAATAATAACCTATGCAGAGTCACAACATATTAACTAACATGTGTGCGTATTTGATGTTATCCACGAATTTAATTTGCTTGACTAAGGCCTTGTTTGGATTGCTGTTTTCCGTCGAAAAATTACGTTGTTTTCCGTAATCACATTTTTTTATAATCTTTTTTCCTCACATCGCTACAGCATTTTTTCCATGAAAAATACAATCCAAACACAACTAAATTTCAAACTTCAAATGGAGAGCTTTCCTTTATCGATTTTCAACTTTTTTTTTTTCTTTTAGAATTAAAGGGAACAAGAGTTGAATGGGAGTATTCCCGATAGTGCTTTTTGTA